ACCTGCGCACACGACGACAAGGAGTGGTACAGCTTCAGTCAAGAGAAACAAATGTCATACTGCACATATCAAAGGTACTCATCGCTGAAGGACTCGGCTACAACTTACTGAGTGTTAGCCAGCTGATGGCGAAAGGGATTCACCTGGAAGCCGACAGCACCACCCAGGAGTTCAAGCTATACCACGGGAGAGGCGGCCTCTACATCGGGAAAGCAGTATTGAAGAACAACGTCTTCGTCCTCGACTTCGTTCCTGACCTGGGCACTGCAGACAGCGACGCCATCGTGAATTTTACTGACTGGACACACCCTCCAGATCTCGACCCCGACTTCAGCCCGGAAGGTTTTTGGTACTCCCACACCATCCTTGAAGCAGAACGAACACGAGCGTTAGCGACGATTCAACAAACAACAGAAGCAGAGACAACATCGGCAGCAGCAACAACATCGGCAGCAGCAACAACGTCGGCAGCAGCAACAACATCGGCAACAGCAGCAACAACATCGGGAGCAGCGACAACATCAGCAGCAGCAGGAACAACGACACCAGTCACAGTCGACGAAGCACCACCAACACCCGCACAACAGCTAAATCCGACTCAACGCGAAGTCCACCGAAGCGCCAACTTCGTCGCCAGTTTTTACTCCAACTCCGACGCATACCAACGTTCACCCGGACACCGCGCCTCTGAAGAGATCTGGCACGCACGCACAAGACATCCAAGCAACACGGTTTTAAATAACACGATAAGAGCAGGAGTTCTTGACAAAGACTCTCTACTTCTACCCGACGGCAGAGAACTCCAAAAGGCACGAGGGACTTGCCTTACATGCCCCGAAGCTGACTTACCTCATCGACCATTCGCTCCACATCACAACCCGAGCGCACCAGCGTATGCACCACTTGAAAAGTTTTACAGCGACATCCTCTACAATCGCGAACCAGGACAAGTCAACTACAACTACACCATCACCTTCATCGACATCGCCACTCGATACGTCTGGCATCGTAACCTACCCAGCCGCGACATGGCGCTCGCAGCATTCACCGCCTTGCTACCGATAGCAGAGAGAGAGTCTGGAACGCAACTGAAAAGCTTCCAGTCAGACGGAGGTGGCGAGTACACCTCTCAGCGCTTCAAGCAGTTCCTGGCGGAAAGGGGGATCAAGCAACTCCTCTCCCTTCCCTACGCACATCAGCAGCAAGGTGTTGCAGAAAGAATGAACAGGACCCTGCAGAACAGCATGCGCAAACTGTTACGTGGCATGCGGCTACCCAACCACCAGTGGCCAGCAGCAATGGACCATGCTGTCATGCTGCACAACTTGTTGTCGTCGTCGTCACTCCCGAACAACGCATCACCGCATCTGCTGTGGACAGGGAAGCAGGGCAGCACAAAAATGTTACGAGTCTTCGGGTGCATGGTACAGTACAGACCCCCAAAAGCACGAGCGGGAAGATTTTCACAACGGGCACAGTGGGGACTACACCTCGGCATCGAGATAAATTACAACGCGTGGAGAATCTTCGACGTCCACACAAAACAAACAGTAGCAGCACGTGATGTGATCTTCTACGAACGACTCACCCTTCAAACGTACCTCGCCAACTTGCACGAGAATCGGGACCTCACCAATGGCTTTCGTGCTGACCGAGCCTTCGCGTCAGCAGTGGATGAAGCAGACTGGGATGAGCAGAACGTCGACAACGCATCGGAGGAAGCCGGACCTCTTCCGTACTGCTCCGTCGACGTGCCCATGGATGAGGAAAATCCTCGCGACAGTTACAACGCCGAAGTCTTCTACCATTTCGCCGACAATGGTTACGTAACACTTGCGACAGTCAACACCAACGAAGCAGAAAGGGTAGGGCCAAATTTCATACCCGACCCAGAAGTGGGAGACGAAACAGCTTATCCCGAGGATCCAGAACTCCCTCAATACTCACAGACTGGACTGCAAATCCTTGGTCTCGTCACCGCAGTCCATGGCGCCACCATTCCTAAGGAGCCTGCGACGGTTCAACAGGCTCTGGAGGGGGAACATAGGGAGAAATGGCGTGAAGCCATGGACAAAGAGCTGAAGGCACTGGAGGAGCGCAACACCTGGAAAATCGTTCTCATCGGCGTAGCACAAAACAAGACTATTCTTACCGGAAAGTGGGTCTTCCGTGTGAAGACGAAAGCTGACGGCACCATCGACAAATTCAAAGCTCGCTGGGTCGTACGCGGCTTTGACCAGGAGCACGGAAGAGATTACACCGAAACCTTCGCTCCGGTCAGCCGTCACACCTCACTCCGAATCCTCATCGCCGTCGCCGCCATGAAGAAAAAGAAACTGCGACAAATCGACGTCGCAAACGCATTTCTCTACGCACCTGTGGATGCAGAAATCTTCGTCGAGCTCCCGCACGGCTCCCACGGCGAACCCAACCGAGTCTGTCAACTGCTTAAGTCGCTCTACGGGATCAAGCAGGCACCGCGACTGTGGCAGCAGTACCTACACGCCCGCCTCATTCGCATCGGTTTCAAACAACTCCCGCACGACCAGGCCATGTATCGCCTCACAAAGGGAAGTGACTACGTTCTCCTAATCGTCTACGTGGACGATCTCCTCTACATTGGGTCAACCGACGGCATCGCCACGTGGTTCGAAGGGGAGCTTCAGAAAGACCTCACGCTCACGGTCTCTTCTACCGTTACGCAGTACCTCGGGCTCAACATCCGCGAGGAAGAAAACGCAATCTATCTAAGCGCCGGGAAGTACGCCGACACCATCGCGAAACGCTTCAGCCTCACACCAAGCGCCATCTCCACGCCTTACCGCTACACGTCAGGAACCGAAAAGGGACGATCTACCCTACTCAAGCCCGCCGGCATACGCGACTATCAGAAGAAGCTCGGATGTCTTCTCTCCGCAGCAGTCACATGCCGTCCCGACTTATCCTACTCCGCGAGCCAGCTCGCCACCTATCTCAAGAAGCCTGAAGCAGAGCATCTGGCGGAACTCGATCGCGCTCTCCACTATTTCGTCAGCACCGCGACAATCGGATTAACTTATCACAAAAACGCAACTACACCGACCAAGCTAATTGGCTACGTCGACGCCGATCACGCCGGCGACACCGATAACAGGCGCTCACGCACCGGCTATGTCTACCGCCTCGAGCCTATCGGTCCTATCTCTTGGCAGTCGAGTAAGCAGGAGTTAATCGCACTGTCTTCAGCTGAAGCAGAATATATTGCACTCTGCTCAGCCACCAAGGAGGGACTTTACCTTCGCGAACTGTTGGAAGAAGCGAAGTTAGCCGAGTTACCTAGCTTCACCGTGTTCTGCGACAACCAGTCAGCAATTTGCATCGCCAACAAGAACGGCTTCGCAAACAGGACGAAACACATCGCCCTGCGCTATTTCTTCGTGAAGGACGAGATCGAAGAGGGGAAACTCGATCTGTCATACTGTCCCACGTCTGAGATGGCAGCCGATTACTTGACCAAGAAGCTCGGAAAGCAGAAGTTCGAATACTGCATGCTGCTGACTGGACAAGGCCACGTCACCTGCGGCGACACTCCAGAAGCGAAGGGGAGTGTTGGAAACAATGAGTCTTAGTGCGCTTCTGTCGTGTGAAAACCCATGACACTAGCGAAGCAGTCCGAATCGAAGCATCGATTCAAACCTCGGAGGTTAGGGTAACCGCCTGGAGGTTACGGGAAAGTCAAAGGTCAGCGACCTTTGACTCGACAATTACAGCGCGACAGTTAAGGACACACAACTGACTCGTTACAGAGCAGTTGCCCGAGTCGCATTGTATCGGATCGCAACAGCAAATACAGTTATCTATCCATTCGTATTCCCTGTACTCTTATATAAAACCTTGCATTTGCTTGTTTAATTCAATCCACTTTGCTCTCACACACTAGTGCAAGGTCGGTTCACAAACTTCATTAAACGCTTCCGCTATTACAAATATCCTACCCAGAGTTATCCTCTGCAAAGATCCTTAAGGGCTTTCTCAGCCCAACACATCCCAGCGTGGACTTCCGTACATTAATTATTTCCAACCCAAATGACTCTTGCCAATACAGGTTGGATTTCGGACCCTGATGACCACCACAACAGATATGGTATCTATACTGTACATACAAGTGATGTTAGTTCACAAGCAGATCACTTTGGGATGACTATAACCTGAACTTGTCTATATCTTGCACAACAGTAATGAATGTGCTGTAGTCCGTGTCGTACGTGGTTTGATGGTCTGCTAGTCAATGAGGTGGTCTCAAGTGTATTTCGTGCGAGTGACGTGGCTCTCCATGATTCGGTCAGCCTTTGCTCAAATAGGCTGCCCCTGAATGAACTCAAACGATTGGGGACAAGATCTTGTTCGTCGACAGGGTAAACATGGACCGATTATTCCTCCATGCGTGGCATATTCCACCTCAAATTCTGTCGCTCAAGCGCTGGTATTCGCTGGATTATAATATTCTGTTCATTCCTTCGCGTTTAATTAGCCAATCATCCAAGGCCACCTGACCAGGGCAGGCTACTAACGAAAGTCGGACCTCTGACGTTTTCCCTCCTAATTTCTTCAAACCAGACCAGAAACTGTGACGTGATTGGTTCCAAACTAGAGCTCTTGGTTTTCTCTGCTGGAACCATGTAGACTTGTGACATTGAAGTTAGGTAATCACGAGGCGCTCCCTAGGTGCTCGTCTGTGTCTCTTGGAGTTCCCTAGTTCCCGCCCAACCGTCAGGTAACCTGGAGGCGCACGCTTTACCTAGATTCCACCAATGCCTAAGAGCTGTCTAGCTTGGGTAGACTGTTGCTGGAACCAGGCATAACTCAGCCGTACTTCCACGCTGATGCCAATCGAACACGGGCACTACGCAAGGATCTGTACATATTATCCAATTTCGTTGAATCTGCGGTTGTCATTTTCCGCAGCCAGTCACTTCAATCCTGCTGAATCATCAGCTGCTTAGCAGTTGCTGGAATTTGCCATGTCTGCTCAATTTTCCGCGTGCTATGCTGCGGCTGGCATCTCTGCCACGCTAGTAAATACCACCCAATACGCCAGTGTTTCGAGTGTGTCCCACGCCGTGAAGCCCGCTCTTAGCCTTGCATCGCATGTGCGGCAGCGCGCGTCGCACAGCAAGGGCTCCGTTGCCATGTCACCTGGCCTAGTCCACATGGCCGCCATTTCCGCGTCAATGTCCGAAGATGTGGAGGGTAATTATCCTTCTTCCGAAGCAAAGTCCACAGCAGCAGCCCTGTCTAATATGAATTCGGAGATTTCACGTACCCCTGGGGGCGATTCTTTGCAATCTGCTCCATTGACTCAAGCGGGGTCTGCGGTAGCTGAGCTAGCTGTAGGGGCCCCAGCTGTAGCAGAGTCCGCTGTAGCAGAATCCGCTGTAGCAGCGTCCGCTGTAGCGGAGCCGGCTGTAGCGGGCCCGAACGAGTTGGTGGAGGACGGCGCTGTGATCGTGCGAGACGACCTGGACGAGCTGCTCCACTGCCTGCCGGGGAACCTTCGCGGAAACTTGCTGCAGCACCCTCGCAGATCTGAGCTGCTCGAGGTGCGCTCAGGGGCTACGGGTCCATTTGTATTTGATTTATGCAGGGTATTTTTGGAAATACTGGGAATCACCTCGACGTAAGCTCAGGATTCACGCGTCCACAATTCCATCGGCACCCGTCCCACCTGTTCCCCGACCCTTCCATGTACCCCATCCGTGCTCCTTTCTTTCCTGGATTACCATCCTCCTCCTCCTATCCGCCTTGCCCCGTCCCCCTTCCCCTTTCCCCCTTCTCCGTTCTCCCTTCCCTTTCTCACCTCTTACCAGTTACCCCTTCTCCTTCATACTTCCCCCTTTCGGCTTCCTGCTTCCTCCCACCTCCACTCCCCGCCGTCCGTATCAGGTGGTGTTGGATCTCGGCCGTCGACCCGAGGCGCGCTTTCTGGGCGATGGCGGGGCTGAGTACCTTCAGGAGGCAGAGGTACGTCGAATTAAAGAGGTAAGTAGGATAAAAGAGGTCAGTAGGCTTAGAGAGGTACGTATTATGAAATTGGTGGGTTGGTGAGAGAGGAAAGTAGGATGAGAGTGGAAGTAAGATTCGAAGGTAAGTTGATGAGTTGACGTAGCATTAGAGGAAGGATTGCTGACACGTGCGTGTTTTTCTTGCCCTGCTGACGTGGCACAGGTCACCCGCGCGGATCTCGAATCCGCCTGCGAGTCCATCGGCGCGTTTGGCGGCGACAATCGCGCTGGCGTGGAGGGGACGCTCCATCGCATCAGCGCCATCCGCAACCGCAAGGGTGACGTGGTCGGGCTGACGTGTCGCGTAGGGCGCGCGGTCACCGGCCACGTGGACATGGTCCGCGATCTGCTGCACCACGGACAGAGCCTGCTGTTTCTTGGAAGGTTCGTGCTGGGTCAATTTCTCTTCTCTGTTATCCTTTCAGCCCATCTCATCTCTATCAAGACCTTAACCCCAACCTTCTCTTCCCGCCATCCCCAAGACTGGATATTCCCCCCTCCCTTCTCGCCTGCCCTTTCTTCCCTTTCGTAATTCGTGCAGGCCCGGCGTGGGCAAGACAACGGTGATTCGCGAAATAGCGCGAGTGCTAGCAGACGAGATGCAGAAACGGGTGGTGATCGTGGACACAACAAACGAGATTGGCGGGGACGGAGACGTGCATAACCTGTTCTTACCCCCTTCCTTTGCACCCCTTTGCACCCCCTTGCACGCTCTTCCAGACCTGGAGTAGGAAAGACGACAGTGATCAGGGAAATTGCGCGAGTGCTAGCAGACGAGATGCAGAAGCGCGTGGTCATAGTGGACACGAGCAACGAGATTGGGGGGACGGGGACGTGCATAACCTGTTATTGTCCCCTCCCTCTGCACCCCTTTGCATGCCCTTCCAGGCCCGGCGTGGGTAAAACAACAGTGATCCGCGAGATTGCGCGAGTGCTAGCAGACGAGATGCAGAAGCGTGTGGTGATAGTGGACACGAGCAACGAGATCGGCGGGGACGGGGACGTGCCTCACCCCGCGATTGGCGGCGCGCGGCGCATGCAGGTGCCGGATCCGGCGCTGCAGCACCGCGTGATGGTGGAAGCCGTGGAGAACCACATGCCGCAGGTGAGATGGGTGAGGAGATGAGATGGGTGAGGAGGTGAGATGGGTGAGGAGATGAGATGGGTGAGGAGGTGAGATGGGTGAGGAGGTGAGATGTGTGAGGAGGTGAGATGGGTGAGGAGGTGAGATGGGTGAGGAGGTGAGATGGGTGAGGAGGTGAGATGGGTGAGGAGGTGCTTGTGTCCCTTGTGTGGCACCTTGGCTGGTGAGCGCGTACACATGACTGCCGAAACCCAGTGCTTGTGTCCCTTGTGTGGCACCTTGGCTGGTGAGCGCGTACACATGACTGCCGAAACCCAGTGCTTGTGTCCCTTGTGTGGCACCTTGGCCGGGCAGGGTGATGGCGGAGGCCTTCGCATGCAGGACCATGGCATTCTGAGAATCCTCAAACTCGCACCGCTTCCCTGCCTGTGCCTGTCTGCCCCTGCCCACAGGTGGTGATAGTGGACGACATTGGGACAAAGGCGGAGGCGCTGGCATGCAGGACGAGTCACGATAGCCTTATGGGACATCTCAAACTCACACCTCTTTCCTGTCTGTGACTGCTCGCCTCTGCCTACAGGTGGTGATAGTGGACGAGATTGGGACGGAGGCGGAGGCGCTGGCATGCAGGACGATAGCGGAGAGGGGAGTGATGCTGGTGGGCACGGCTCACGGGCAGCTGCTGGAGAATCTCATCAAGAACCCCACGCTCTGTGATCTGGTGAGGCTGGGATCCTATTCTGTAACCTGGTAACCCTATGTGACTCGAGTGGTGATGCTGGTGGGCACGGCTCACGGGCAGCTGCTGGAGAACCTCATCAAGAACCCCACGCTCTGCGACCTGGTGGTGAGGATGTGGGACTTAGTTCCCCTCATTCCCGTCCATTGTGCCTCTCCTTCTTTCCCTCTTTCCAGGTGGGCGGGGTGCAGACGGTGACGCTGGGAGACGAGGAGGCGAGGTCACGAGGCACACAGAAGAGTGTGCTGGAGAGAACAGCGCCGCCCACATTCCCCTCTCTGCCCTCGCTGTGCCCCTCCGTCCTCCCCTCGCCTCCTTTGTGCCACTCCCCTCACTTTCCTCTCCACCCATCTCCCTCACTTCTTCTCAACTGTCCAGGTGGGCGGGGTGCAAACAGTGACCTTGGGAGACGAGGAGGCGAGGTCGCGAGGCACACAGAAAAGTGTGCTGGAGAGAACAGCGCCGCCCACATTCCCTGTGCTCATTGAGATGCGCGAGAGGCACTTCTGGGTGGCCCATCAGGTGTGTCATTGTGAAAGGCCACTAAAGGAGTCGTGCTTTGGGTTGGCTCGATATAAATTACATGCATGCAGCACCGCCCACGTTCCCTGTGCTCATTGAGATGCGCGAGAGGCACTTCTGGGTGGCCCATCAGGTGTGTCATTGTGAAAGGCCACTAAAGGAGTCGTGCTTTGGGTTGGCTCGATATAAATTACATGCATGCAGCACCGCCCACGTTCCCTGTGCTCATTGAGATGCGCGAGAGGCACTTCTGGGTGGCCCATCAGGTGTGTCATTGTGAAAGGCCACTATAGGAGTCGTGCTTTGGGTTGGCTCGATATAAATTACATGCATGCAGCACCGCCCACGTTCCCTGTGCTCATTGAGATGCGCGAGAGGCACTTCTGGGTCGCCCACCAGGTGTGTAGTTCTCGTGGTGCCTCTAAAGTAGGTGTGCGTTGACTCGAATGGAAAGCCACGAGCTACTGCCCGTGCCGTGACACACTTTCACAGCGCCGCCCACCTTTCCCGTGCTGATCAAGATGTACTAAATAATCCTCTCTCGCCCATCTTCCCGACTCGTTCCAGACCGATTTTGAATCGACTCAAAAAAAGTGTGGACGCATTGTTGCACGGCGTGTGCCCTTGTCGAAGTGTGCACTCGGGAGAATTCGTTCCATGTCACCATCTACTCTCTCCTTGCCCATAATCCCTGTTCCCTTGCTTTTTGCCCTTCTCGTTCCGCAACAGACGGACAGGAGTGTGGATGCCTTGCTGCATGGCAAGCGCCCTCAGGTGGAAGTCCGCACGCGTGACGAGTCCTTCCACGTCACCATTGACCGCCGGCTTTACGACCGCAACGGCACCTCCTCCTCCTCTTCCTCTTCCTCTTCTTCCTCCTCTGCTTCCTCCCCGGCTAATTCCAGCAGCAGAATGGGCGCTGTGGGGGAGAAAATGGGGGAGAGCATGTTTGGTGCGGGGAGTGCAGGTCCAGGCGTGGTCCTAGGGGGGAGGGAGCGGGAGAGGGACCTGTATTGGATGGCTGGGAGCGATGATGAGGGGTTTGACTGGATGGAGGGCGGTACTAGCACGCGGTATGAGTTCAGCTATGGAAGGAACGGCGGTGGGGGGGGTGGGAAGGGCGTGGGGCGAGAGGTGGCAGTGGAGCAAACGTATTCCTGGGCTGCCAAGCTTGGTGAGTGCATGCATGTTGGCTGTGTGTCTTTATTGGTTGTGTGGGTGTACATGGTAGGTGAGTGTTGTCTTGTGTTGTCTTGGGTTGCTATCGTGGCTTGTCACGGTACTCGTGTTCTTTCCTACACACCAGGGTTGCTGGATGAATGAGTGTGTTTTCTGGTGAGTGCTGCGTGGGAAGGGAACGGTAAGGGAAACAAGAGGAAAGGAAATGTTCAGGGGCTTAGACTCAAGCATCACTTACCCAGAACCTGCCTGTGTGGCCGTGGCTTTCATCCTTCCCCTGCAGGTTATGTCCCGGAGAGGGATGCACTCATGGAGGCGAATGCTTCGTGTTCTGTGTCGACCTCAAAACACGACTCTATCCTACATTCGTGTCATTGGTCCTTCCCCTGCAGGCTATGTCCCGGACAAGGATGCTCTCATGGAGGCGAATGCTGCTCCTCCACGAAGCAACACCACCAGAAGCAGCAACAGCAACATTAACAGCAGCAGCAGCAGCAGCAGCAGCAGCAGATCTGCATCGTCTTCCCAGACTACCTACTCTTGGACAGATTTCGATGAGGATTTTCACTATGTGGGCGGAGGGAGGGCTGGCCACGGGGGATATTCTGGCGCGGGCACATCAGGAAAGAGGGGTAGCAAGAGAGGGCCCAGGGGAATTCGCCCTCGCTGAGTGTGGCCAGGGTTATTCACCCTGGGGTCGGACGTCAGGAGTTTGCCTCTTGGGCCCAATTCGCAGCGGTTTTCCTGGCCCTGGCCCTGGGCATTAAGAGGCGTCACTTGAGCAGCTTCGTGAGCTGCTGCGATGCTTCGTGATAGCACTGGATGCTTGAGAAGCAGCCAGAAAAGCAGCCTGAAGCAGCTAGATACATATGCACATAGTCACCTGTCACATTCCTCCCTTGGCCACACGTCCTTCAACTCTGTCCACCCTAGTCGCACTTCTCCTCTCAACCCAAGCGGTGTCGTGTGCAGCCATTCCAGCCCTCGCTCTTCTCTTCTGTACAGCCCCCTTCAACTCGTCAGCTATCCACTTGTTCAATGTCTTGAGAAATCATACATGTTATCAATTATGGTGTCCTGGTATGGTACGGTATCTACCAGTAGGAGTTTCAATGCCTTGAGCAATTATCTAGGGAAAATTTCTGGTGTCCAGACACGGTATCTAGCAGTAGCAGCTCACTGCAAAACTCTTCCAGCGCTGTGCTTGTAGCTCTATGCTAAGCTAATGCCTTCGAAAATTGTGCTTACCATAGATTCTTCAGCTGTAACAGCATGCGGCCCTCTAGATGGTTATGGCAAGTATAATCTGTGCTAACAGATTGTGCTAGCACATGGATGCTGCTTATTAATTTGCTATGTTGGTACAGCCGTGGGTTCTAATCGAATTGGCAGAGCTAAGAAATGTGCTGTCCCTTGTCCTTGAAATGGAGGAACATTTCAGAATGTGCTGACCGGGAACTCAGAGTTGACTGAACCTTGTTCATATATGTAAGGCTTTTGCTAAACAATAGTGCTGTTAGTGATCAACAGCAGCAGCCTATCAAACCTACGTGTGGGTTACTGCAGTATATTTATAGCGGTACCTTTTTTCCGCTACTGGGCTGAGCTGCCCCCCTGAATCTGCCGCTCCATCGCCGTGACCTTCTACGCTATCATTCCTCTTTATTAGCAGCTTCGTAACTCTTTACAGAGCCACAGCGGCAGCCACGGCAGTGGCGAGCAGCACCAGAGCAGCGGAAACCAGATTCGACGCAGCGCCCTTGGGACCAGGGGGAGCCATGGCGGTCGCGGGGAGATCGCTGGGCTTGCCGGTGTTGGCGGTTGTAGCGGGGGCGTCGGCAGGCGTGTTCGGCTTGGGCTGTCCTCCGCGGGGAGGTCCGGTCGTCGCGGGCGGAAGCTCCGGCGCGGCGGTGGCGGGGAGGGGCGCGCGCTTGAACGGGACGGTGGTGGCGGAGTAGGGGAAGTCCGCGCAGATGGCGGCAGCGGGTTTGCGCCCGACGATACCCGCGGAGCCGGTGAGGTTGACCGCGCCCTTGGGGCATTGGCGGGGGACGTTGAGCGGATCGCAGCAGAGCGGGGTGGAGGGAACCTGCTCCGGTCCGCCGTAGCAGCCCACGTCCTGAAAAGGGTTTGCGCCGAAGGGAGGGGAGAGGGGGGGGGGCAGCATTGGTTTTTAGACAGGTGTGACGGACGTTCAAAAGTAAGCGGGAGGATGTTAGCTTGGTTAGAAGCGGTCGGGAACAATGGCGAAACGCATGCAAGTGTTTCTTTGCAACGTTTGCTTACATTGATGCTGGCGTTGAAGTTGGGAACGGCGGAGCTAATAACGGGGACGAGCACGGACTGAATCAGATCGGCGGGCGTGAAGAGGAAATCACCCACTTTGAGTTCGCCCACTGAAATAAAGGAACGGGAGGGGATATAGTACGCAACGGCACGATCGTCAGCATCCCCTCGTCAATGACAGATGGGATTAGGAGCGCGGGATATGGCGCAAATCACGCAGCTGCTGGGATAACCCAGGGTAGGGTGCGATATGAGTGTTGAATCCACTGGATTGCAAAGCGGGATGAATTGGGGATGGTAAACGAGAGGGTGCCGCACGTGTCGTACACGTGCTGTGCCATACCAGGTTCGGGACCCGTGCCAGGTTAGGAATGAACGATGGGACTCGGAAGGGTCGGACGAGAGCTTACACGAGAGGGTGCCGCACGCGTCGTACACCTGCTGCGCGAAGGCCGTGCAGATGTTGAGGATGGGTGCGCCGGTCGACTTGCTGAAGTAGTTGCCCGAGTCTGACGCGGACGAGCGGGAAGAGGTGGGGGACAGTGGGGGAAGGAAAGAGGGGAAAGAAGAGGGATAGGGGAAGGAGGAGGGGTGGTAGAAGCACCGTAGCGCGTAACTGTGAGTGAAAGAGGAATCGGGGTCGGAGCGTCAGCAAGAAGCAGAAAATCCGGCGAAAAATCCTGGGGCCTACTAGGAGAGCGATGAGAGTCTTTCACACCGCACCTCACAGGGGTGACTTTTGAGTCGACTCAAAACTCACCGGGGTTGCAGCTGACAGCGCACACGAGCTGCTCGACGAGCAATTCACACGTTTCCGACCCCTTGAACAACCCGCACACGTCCGCCGGAACGCCCAGTTGCGTTCCCATGCCGCCCGTGTTCGCGTCGACGACAGAGGTAACGTTCGTTGCTAACGCCCGAATCGCGTAGTTCAGGTCGAAGCAGTCCTGGCAGCAAGACATTTTCGCGGCTGCGGGGCATCGCGTGTGGATGACCTTAGCGGGCTTGGGGAGTTTCCCCGTGAGTGGACATTTTGGGTAGGGTTGGGCGACTGCCAGTGGGACGAGGACGAGGAGCAGAAGCACAGCGCGAGAGACGGCCATGGCGGATGGAATGTTCCTCGAAGAGTGTCCGTCTCTTGAGGGAAAGAACTGAGGTAAACAGAATATTAACTCGGATCAAACAGACACCGAGAGTTTGACGCAGTTCTGTGGTTTGATGGGAATATGAATAATCACTGTCCCCCTGGTGCTTTGTTTGATCTCACTTGCCTGGATTTGCCAGGAGCAAGCAGGTGGGCGGGGGATCCCAAAAATCGAGTCGGCTTCGGGAAGATGGGAATAATATTGAAGCAGGAAAACAATCAAGCGCCCCGGTTGGTGCGGAACGCGACGCCGTGACAATTCTGGTTTGGTAATTGGGGGACAGATTCGGCTGGCTCGAGGTCGCCTCACTGGTTTTTGTCGCAATACCGTCTCGGTTCGGACCTGGTCTGGATGTGGCTCACCGGCTAGTCTGGTTGGGTTTGGGCGAGAACTGGAGACCTCGATTCCCTTCGCTCGCGCGGGCAGTTGTGTCCGTTTTCGCTTGGCGCGTCGGAAATTGAGCCGTCACAACCAGGCGACTTCGCTTAGTTGGTCACGAAAGTGTCGTCGCGCCAAACACAGCCGCATGGCGAGCCGAACGGGCCGGAAGCCCTGTCAGCGGCGATACTTTAGCGGCGATTCTTTTTTTTGGCAGGTGGCTCTTCTTTGCTTCATACCCGAACTTTGTCGGCTCACAGCTAGAACTGGTCAAGAACGGTATCGCGTCAACTTGCGATGAGGACTGGCAACAAAGCAGTTGTGTAAGGAATTTTCTCAATATTCCTTAGCGCGCCCTGCAACATCGCGTACAACAGCAGCCGTTGTTCGCCCGTTACTGCTAACGGGGCTTCGCCGACTTCGCGCGCACTGTTTCACCAAACCTCGCACTGCTGGACCGGCCGTGTCGGCCTACGCTTCGGGACTAGCCCAAACCTCGCTGCCAGCGTAGCACTAGCTAGCTCGCACGCACCGCGTTACCGATTGCATGTTTCGCATATAAATGTTCGCTCATGCCTTCGCTCACATTTTGTACTCATTTGACACCTTAATGGAATTCTCGCTACTTCGATCCATTGCACCCGTAACACTTGGTATTCAGAGCCTCTTTCTTTTCTGACCGCGCATCTCCGCACCCCAGGAAATCAACTTTTGATTTTTCACTCGAAGGGACACACGCACCTTAGCCCCTAGGAGCCGCTGTCCTCGGTTCTCTCGTAAACGCGTGCAGCCACGACTGCGCCTAGACTAAGACGAGCCAACGCCCTTCGGAATGGCCGAACGCATCGACGTCACCAGCCTCACGCAGGACCGCCTGGACGAGCTGCTGCAACAACTGCACGAAAGCTCCGAAGAAATCGCGGCATTAACGGCGGAACGCACCTCCCTGCAGAATGACCTTGCACGAACACAATCCCTAGCACCTGGCACTCCGGTACAGCCCACACCACATACATCGCAACATGGAAGTGTGGGGCAACCCGCGAGCGCGGCTAGTGATGGCGTCGTCCGCCACGACGGAGACGACGACCACGGCACGACACACCCCGACGCGACGAATGCGGCCCGGAACCAGCATCGAGTTTTGATTTCCGTGCCGGCCGGCGAATCGGCTCTACTGTCGCCGATGCCGCTGAAGCCGCAGCGTCCGCCGTGTTTTGACCCGAGTCAACGGGGTGGTCCTACCGTTCAGGCGTGGCTATTCACGTTGAACGTTTTCTTCGACGCGAATTACGTCTCGGAGGATACGGCGAAGATTCGCTACGCCGTGTCATTGCTGCGAGGACCCGCCATGGACTAGTGGCGTGTCATCGTCACGAAGCCGGTAGACTACGCGACTCTATCGACACGGGAAGGACAAACCGGACCCTGGGCGCCGTCGGATTTCGTGGAGGTGCCCTAGTATCGCACGTGGGACGCGTGGTGCGCAGGTCTGCGCGCTCGTTTTGAGCCAATTGCGGCTTCGATCGCGGCGCGACAGAAGCTCCGCACTTGGCGCCAACTCAGTTCCGTCCAGGACTACACGAGCGGATTTCTGGCGCTATGCGAGCAGGTGGGATACATGCATGAGAGCGAGCGCTGTCAAACTTATATCATATAGCTTGTCTAGGCTATAGTGGGGTAGATACTATGGGGTACAGTTTCCTAGGGTTTCCTACTTGTACCCAACCTTGTGCTAGTTCATTCATTCCTCATTTCTTCACATGGTATAGAGCAGGTTCCCTAGTGGGAACGCTTCCTTGGGCCCACCACTGATTTTTTTTTTCCGACTGGAGCGTCAGTCGCTCCTGCCCGAGGCGTGCCTTGTTCGCCGCCCTTCCAGGCCCCTCGCGGCCCCTAGCGGCCTCGTCCCCGCCCCTACGCGGCCCCGTCGCCGCCCCTAGTGGCCCCGTCGCCGCCCCTAGCGGCCCCGTCGCCGCCCCTAGCGGCCCCGTCGCCGTCTCTCTCCCTACGCGGCCCCG